GGTACATAAAGATATAAGTTTATAGATATATAAAGATATAAATTTATATACCTAGAAAATTTGCTAGGTATATAAAGATATAATTTATAAAGATATAAATGTATATCTCTGCTAGGTATACAGAGATGCTTGCTAGGTATATAAAGATATAAATTTATAAAGATATAAATCCATATTTTTGCTGGGTATCTTTATATACCTAGCAAATCAGTATAAAGGGCTCCACTCACCACAGGACCCTCTCTCTCTTCTGCCTGATGCTCTTCAGACAACAATGTCTATATTTCGTGTTCACTAAAATTGTATATGACAGTTCTCTGAATTTTCTGCATGGCCATTAAGTTGGATAATCTTTTTTATAACATAGTAGGAGAAATGTATTGAATGCCCAGGAAGTAGACAATTTGCTAGATTATTTTCTCACCTAATCCTCCTAACAAACATATGAAGCAACATCATAGAGTGATGTCTTAGTCTCCTCATCTATAAATATGGAGAGAAAAAAATGGTGTGGTTTTATGAGAATAAATAAAATAATGCACATAAATCACTGTGCATAACAAGTATCTTTGTTTTATATTAACAGTGATGAACACATAATAAGTGTGTAAGTACACCATCTGAACTGGCCTGAGTTTAATGAAAATTGAAATACAGATGAATGATTTTTATTTTCTCCACTACTGCTGGTGAGCTGGGCAGGAATGCTAGTTCATTAGAGTTTTGTAACAAGTCCTTCGCTAAACAAAGTGGACTATATCCCAGGTCAAGCAGAAAGAGCAGTGCAGCTGAACATAATTGGTGAGATAAATACACATTGACAGAAAGAATGTATAATGAAAGGGTTATGGTTTATGTGGAAATACCACAAGAAAAGAATGGGACAGGATGTTCACCAGCACCATGCAGAGGTGAAAGGGGGTACATTAGGGTGGCCTCAATGCTTTTACAGAAACTAGACTCTCTAAACTGAACACCTTCATTTCAAAGAAAAAGAAACCAGTATGGTTTTGTGAGTTAGCTATCATCATAGAGCTAATTATATATAAATGCATTTTATACATTACCTGAAAACATATACAACCCAAATATTTTCAAGTATATTACAAATATTCTGTTGCAATGCTTTGGAAAACTTTTTTTTAAAAAATTAAAATTTAGTGTTACTTATTTTTTATTTTAGTAGACAATATTTTTTTCTAATTTTCCAATAATACATGAGTTTTTTTGTTATTTTTTAGATGTCTAGGTCAACTATATTCAGTAATTTTTATTTTTCTTCTCAGAAAAAAGTGGCAGACAATTTTATTGGGAGGCTTGATATACATAACTATTAATGTAATGTAGACATATAAAAGGCTCTTAAGAAAATAAACAGTTGATAAATATTTTCTCTAGGCTACAATATTCTCAAATTGTCTTATCTATATTCTGTCAAAGGCATGATGCCTCTTAAGACATGAGTGCCAACAGCACAAAGAAATGTAAGACAAGATAGGAATCATGATCTCTTTGCAATATTTATTGCTTACATTTTTGTTTCTCTCCAAACTTGATTAATTTATTTAATACTTTTTCCTAAGAAGATTTGGCAGAATCTACATTTTCCAAAGGACTGTTTTAGTATTTGAACCTTTTGAGCAAGATTGAAGCTATTTATTCTCAAGGCAACATTCAAATAATGAATTTCCCAGTAACTCTATTTCTTTCTGAAGTATTTTTAAGCCATTTTGAGGTCAAAATATTTAAAGCTAACACATTCTACTCTAAATCACATGAACTTTATAATCGTCTGCTATGATTTCTGGTTTAACTATTAGTGACTGATTAAAAAAAGGTAATGGCTAAAGTTTTTCAATAACACAAAAAATTAAAAGAATCAATCTTTCTCATTTTTAAAAAATTTCGTTTCTCTTGGTTTTACTGAATTCTTTTAATCACAGATGTAATTTAGAACTCGCATATCTTGAAATCCATATGATGCAATATACCTCCTCTTATTTTTTCTTATTGCTTTGAAATTGAAAAATTCATTTTTAGTGTCTATTTCAGCATGTTGACTTGAAAGACAAGTGTTTTATACATGTTTTGGAGAATGTGCATTTCATAACTGCTAACACAAGCTAATTCAATCATTAGTTGCTTTTAAATTGTTTTCTGCTGTTAATATGAATGCTACAAATTTATTAAAAGACAATCATTCTCAGATTAAATGTGCAGATGGTTTGTAAAACCTTATTAGAAGAGATTTGTAACGGACAGAATTGCTCTTTCTGCCTCAAATGACCACTATTCTTGCTAATAACACTTTAAATTTATATATTTGTCTCTTTTGAGAACCTTGGTACTGTTCTGTGATCAGTGTTAGGAAAACTTCAGCTGCCTTCTAATGAGACAAAATTATAGAGTTCATATGATTTAGAGTAGAGATGTAATGCGTTGGCTTTAAATATTTTATCCTCAAAATGCTTTTAAAATGCTTCAGGAAGAAATAGAGTTCTAGAAAATTCATTATTTGAATCTTGCCTTGAGAATAAATAGCTTCAATATTGATCAAAAAGTTAAAATAATAAAACAGTCCTTTGGAAAAAGTAGGTTCTGCAAATTCATGTGGGAAAACATCCTACAAATCTTTAGAAGAAAGTACTTTGGAGACCGTGGTGATGGAATTTTTTCATTTCTCTCACCCACTTATTTAGTGGTGCATTCTTTATTTGACGGAAGTTAGATTCTTTATTTTACTTTGCATTATTGTCTAAAAATGTTTTTGCCCCACCCCTACCTCCCACAAGCACTTGGAAAGAAAGCTTAAGTGCTTCAGTATGGCAGCATTTGGGGAAGGGAGATAAAAATAGATTAGACTCCTGCTCAAATCTGTGCCAAATTATATGCTATTTATTTTTAGTCTTCTGGAAAGTTCTACTTAAAAAGGAACTTGCTCCACACAGAGCAGATTAAAAGTAAAGTTGAAATTTAAAAAGCATCAAGAATAACTGTATTAGTAATCAAGGAATTTTTAAAAAGACAAATCAATAACCCCCGAATTCATGTTCAAATGATGTCCACAAAGAACTATTTAAAAACTTCAGAACAGAGTCCCAAATTGAAGTCAGCATCTCAGTCAGACTGTGAATTTGTAAAAGCCCTTTTTTAGCACATTCTCTTTGCCAGCAGTCAAGAGCCCCTTATCCTGGGCCCCCAGTCACAGGCTGATCCCTGGTTTTCCAGAACCTCCCATGTGGTATCTCCCTCATTTTTGTTCTTTTTGCTACTGTGTCATGACCCAACTTTTTCAGACTTTATCACATCAAAATGTATCAAACCCATGTCCCTTTCGGTAAATAGTTTTATTTTCACAAGGAAACAGCTGTCCCAGTAAACTCATACACACTGATATATAAAATATGACAATTTCATTATGTATTGTAGTTAGAAGATGATGTATTTGCATTTTAAAGAGTATTACGAAGGATATATAAATCTTCAACCATGATTTGCCATGGTCTCAAATATTGACTGGAATGCAATGGCTTTCAAATAAAATCAATGTTTTTCAAATGTTCGTTTTTTAAAAATTATCATTCTTCAGTAATAAAACCTTATTTTCCTCCGACTTGCTTTCTGAGTGGCCCCAGAGCATTCCTGAGGAACTTCTGCAATTCCACAAATACAGTCTACACATCATCTCACGAATGCAGTAGAGAATAGCAGAAATGTTAGGCATACATATGGCTGGTACTTTGAAACCAGTGGTCTTCAGCAGAGGTGAATGCTGTCCACCACCCCCATGCAGACATTTGGCAGCGCCTGAAGACATTTTTTGGCTGTCATAACTTAAGGAGAGAGGAAGGGGATGCTATTGGCATCTAGTGGGCAGTGGCCAAGGGAAGCTGTTAACATCTTGCCATGCACCACCCGACGGAGAATTTTCAGGCAGAAATGTCCCAAGAGCACCGGGGCTGAGAAGGCCTGCTTCACAGAGTGGAGTGCCAGAAGCCACTGAGGGGATCTGGGGGAGAGAAGGGACGACTTCAGCCCCTGGACAGAACCTTAGAGAGAGCAACCAGGGCTTGCCCCAGGGCTGGGGAAACAGAGAAGGCAGGTCTCTGCGAGACTGTGGGATGCCAACTGCTGCTAATTGGGCGTGTTAATTTGCATTGAGATGTCCGTGGGTCCACCGTCTGCAGGGAGCAGAGCTGAGGCCAGGCGCCTGGGCAGGGCTTCCTGGGCCCAAGCCCCTGTCCTCCTAACTCAGGTGTCAGTTGCCTGGCCCTGCTGCTTATCAGACGTAGGATCTGAGAAAGGTCCTCTCAGAGGAAGATCCCAGCCTGTTTCAAATGCCCCGTGGGGATGGCAAGCTCATTCGCACGCTTCACATTTTCACGCCACGAAACCACTCTCTCATCTGCGCGTCCCCCGCGGCAGCCCCCTCTGACCTCAGACCTGGTGGCCACCCTGTGTTGTGACTCGAATGGAAATTTTGTAAGGTGAAAGGGGCTGGCGGTAGTGGGAAACTGCCAGGGGAGGGGGGAGGGGGAGGGGGACACACTTCATCAATCAAGGGGACCTGATCCGAAACCAGGCGAACTGGGGACCAGAGGGAGGCCCACATCTACCTGTGCGACGACCCTTTGTAGACCCAACCCTGCATTGTACCCTACTTCTGCAAAGTGATTTTTTTTTTCGTGGAAAGGTGAATAAAAGAAAGCATCGCATCACCGTTGTTAACTGGCGAAGCGCCTTCGCGGGTCTCCCACGTCCCAAACGGGCTCCGTCGACGGGCCCAAGTGCCACTAAGGGACAGTTTTCACCAGGTCATCAGTTCGAAAGCTCTGGAGAGTCTAAGAGGAAGCACAATCAGCCCGCGACTCCCACCCCCACCGCCACTATAGAGAAAAGAGAGGGAGAGGGAAAAAGCGCCCTTGCCTCCCCCCCGCCCCCCGCGGGCCCCTTTTGTGTGGTTCCTGCCAACGCAGCAGCCGCCCTGCATATAGACCCGCCGCGCCGCCGCCGGCACGCTCCACTCGGCCGCCCGCCCAGCCATGGGGAAGGTGAGCCGAGCGCGCGCCGGGGGCCGCGGGGGCTGCCCGGGAGGGCCCCGGCCCTCGGGCTCCGGGGCCCCGCCCGCGAGCTCTCGCCTCGCCTTGCCTTGCAGATCACGCTCTTCGAGGAACGCAGCTTCCAGGGCCGCCACCACGAGTGCAGCAGCGACCACCCCAACCTGCAGCCCTACCTGAGCCGCTGCAACTCGGTGCGCGTGGACAGCGGCTGCTGGATGCTCTACGAGCAGCCCAACTTCCAGGGCCCGCAGTACTTCCTGCGCCGCGGCGACTACGCCGACTTCCAGCAGTGGCTGGGCCTCAGCGACTCGGTCCGCTCCTGCCGCCTCATCCCCCACGTGAGTCCGGTCCCGCCCGGGCCTGCTGCGCCCTCGAGTCGCATCGGGGAGGCGGACGACCCGCGCGCACTCGACGGGCGGCTGGCTGGCTGGCCGGGACCGTAGCCTTCTGTCCTGCTGGCTCTGACTGTCCTCTCTCTTCCTCCACGAGCGTCTCTAAGTTTTCCTTCCACTGAAGAAGCATGTGAGGCCACGCTTTGAATGGGTCGTCTTCTTTTTACTGGGCGAAAATCAAATTCACTTCTACTGGGAATAAGGTGTGCGTGGCATTAGCTCAGGCGCCTAGGCCGCGGGTGATGCATGAGCAACAGAATAACTCCTTGCTTTCAGATGGCCTTAGGCAGGCTCCTGGGCCATTTCTTACGCTCTTCCTCCATGGGAGGGGACTAAAAAGAGTCAAAGGGTAGCTCATTTGTCGAGTCGCAACGAGCATGAAAGGGGCACCTCCTCCCCCCAGGTACTCAGGATTATTATGAACATCAAGGGTCTTTCCAGTCCTGCCTTCTGATGGGCAAACAAATGACCAACAGTGAGATTCGAGTAGCTCCCGCAGAGTCCACTGTTACCCAAATGAAGCCCCAGCAGCCTGGAATTTTTTCAGCTGGGAAGGCTCTAACTTGACCTTGAGTGAGGGGTGTGAGAAGTCTGAAAGCGCCTCAGAGGATTTAATAGTCTGATAAGACCCAGTGTGGCACTGGGAGCTGGAAAGCATGGGTTTCCACTTTCAAGTCCCAAGTCTTCTGATGACGCATTGTGATCCTCAGTCTTTAGTTTCCTCATAAAAGAGGAAAAGGCTTCTAATGTTGGTACTGTACGTGCCAGGCAGTTGTGAGGATCCAGTGAGGCCACAACATGGGAGCCCTTTGCAAACCATGGAATGCTGACTCAATGTAAGACCCCTTATCTAGCAGTTGTTTATGCCTCAGAATGTGTTGCTTATGAGAATCTTTGCTAAAGAGGGTTTTTAACGCTGGAAGAAGAAAAACGTTGAGATGGTGGGAAGGGACAAACAGATTAAGGAAGAACAAGTTCTGAAGACAAGAGACAGGGTTTTCTCAGAACAAACAACCTAACTTTCCATTTTTCTAAAAGTCTGATACTCTTGGTCCTGTGTAACCCTCCTTCGTGGCCTTGAACTTGCATTTGTGATTACTGCCTAAAGCTGATCTTCAGGAGGTATGTGAGAGCTGAAAAATGAAACCCCGCCTGATGGCTCTTGCTTTTCAGCATTTTAGAGTACCGGGGCTTAAAACAAAAAAGGCAGGGATTAAGGGATTGCATGGGCTGAACTTTCTTCCTGAATTGCCACCCATCTGTGCCTCACTTGGTAAAACTCATTCAATTTCCTCTCCCTCTAGCTTCTTCTGATACTGTTGAGATTCAAAATAATACTTGTTGCCAGGGATACGTTGTCTTTTCAATTTAAAATTGTATTATTCTGTATGTCCTGCAAGGAGAGACATAAACTACCGCAAATAGAAAGAACAAAGCAAATACATAAAATACTTTAAAAATTGCACTGAGCAGGGCCAGTGACTATGGCTCACATCAATTGTACCAGCAGACTTCAGGGAGTACTATTCATAGCAGATGAGCAGTGAATGACATCCTCTTGACTTTCACTGTGTACAACTGCCCAACTATAAACAGCAGGCGTGTGTACAGCTGGTAGTCTCTTCATGCGGTCGCCTTTGCCATAGACAAGATAAAGAAACGCCCATTCCTCAGTGATCCCTGCTAAAATAAGGTCAAGCTCTCTGACTTTTCATCTGTTTGCTGAATCCCCAGGCCAGCTCCCACAGGATCAGGATCTATGAGCGAGAGGACCACAGGGGCCAGATGGTGGAGATTACCGAGGACTGCTCCTCTCTTCACGACCGCTTCCATCTCAGTGAGATCCATTCCTTCAACGTGCTGGAGGGCTCGTGGATCCTCTACGAGCAGCCCAACTATCGGGGGCGGCAGTACTTGCTGAGGCCAGGGGACTACAGGCGGTATCTCGACTGGGGGGCCATGGATGCCAGAGTGGGCTCTCTGAGGAGAGCTGTGGATTTCTATTGATTTCTTTGACTCCACCATCTCTCCCTCTAGAGGCTAATAAAATATTCCCTGTGTGTTCCACGCAGTAATGTTGTCCTCTCTTCCTTTCAGTCTCCTCGAAAGGGCTCAGGAAAATAATGCTAGGAGTAATATGGATGTTCTTGCATGTATCCAGGGCAAGGTGGTATGAAGCAGGGGTTAAGAGTGCAGCCTCTGGAGCCAAAATGCCCGGGTCCAACTTCACTTACGAGCTGTAGGTGGTGGGGCAAGTGACTTAGCATTTGGGTCCCTCGGTTTCCGCATTTGTAAAAATGGGGGGGGGGAAATATGCTCTTCCTCTCCTAAGGTTGTGGTGTGGATTGCATGAGTCAACGTTTTAAAATCACTTATGATGGCTTTGCATTTACTGGCTCTAGGAAACTGTTCTATAAGCTTATTTGTGAAACACCTTGCCACCTCCTCAGTACTCTTTTCTTACTAGAAATCCCTTTGGGCAGGGCATATAACTCCAAGAATGGTACCTGATCTCAAACCAGGTAAAGTCGGGACCAAAGGGAGAGCCAAACTTTACCTGTATGATGGCCACTTGTTTACCTAACCCTGAATTGTGCCCCATACCTTTAAAATAAAAAATAAATTAAAAAGGTTAGCTAAGTGAAATTGCACCAGAGGAAGATACAGTCAGACAGAGATAGATTTGTTAAGATAACTATGTCAGACACATCTGAAGTCTAAAAATATGCGACTTGCTGAACAGACTTATCAATGTGTCCAGAGGGCAAATAAAGGAACCAGATACCACCTTAATAAACAGTCCTAAGGACACTTTGAAGCACAATTCTCAAGGGAACTACAGAGTACACCGTGGCAGTGTGCACTGGTAAACACCAATGCACAATATAAGAGTAAGGGCAGAGGGTACATGTTAACAAAAGCAAAATGCAATCATGCAAAGCTCATACATCTGTTATTGGTTGAAACTAAGATAAATCTTTATGACATCTAGTTCATGAATCAGCATTTGATGGTAGTCGTAGCAGTGAGAAAGAAAAAATTCTATTGGGACTCGTCACTTAATAGAGTTCACTATCTCTGCTGGAAGATGGAGTTCATCAAATGAAACCTATATAGCTATTATTCTACTACACCAGAGGGTTTTCTTTAAGTCAAAACACTAGATTTCAGATGTTCACAGGCAACTGAGGAAAAAACAAATGGCCTCTCAGTTTAAGAGTTGAACTGTGAAAATGACAACCACTTGCTGAAGTAAGTTTATGGTGAACTAAATGGCCATGATTCAGAAAGAACCACTGCAAACAACTTTCTACTTGAATAAAAATATTAATCAGCCAACAAATACAGTTTGCAAAACCCCCAAACACTAAAGGAAGTACCCAGATTATGCCTAATATTTTACTTACCTGACACACACGCATGCTCCAAGATATCTAAAGTTCTAAAGGCATTTAGAACTGTTCTGCAGAGTACCACGTGTTCTCACTCAGAAGCGGACCTTGATCATTTACCATAATACCATAAGAAAGGGATTGGCAGTAGCAGGGTACTGCCAGGGTGGTGGGAGGGAAGACACAACATCAATAAGGGTACCTGATCACAAACCAGGCCAAGTGGGGACCAAAGCGTTGCCCAGACTTTACCTGTACGATGGCCACTTGTATACCTAATCCTGAATTGTCCCCCACATCTTTTAAATAAATAAATAAATACAAGTAGAGCGATTCTGTCCAATAGCTTATTAGCCACATGTAGCTATGGAACACCTGAAATGAGACTAGTCCAAATGAACATGTGTTATAAGTGTAAAGTACTCACTGGATTTCAAAGACTTTGTATGAACAGCAGAATGCAATTATCTCCCTAATATAGTTTCATAAAATTGAATGTTGGCATTTTTGAATTTATTGGTTAAACTAAATCCTCTATTAAAGTTCATTCTAACTCTCTCTTTTTTCTTTTGAATTGGGATCTCTCTCCCAGGCTGCAGTGCAGTGTCACAATCACAGCTCACCATAGCCCCGAATTCCTGGGCTCAGGCAATTCTTCCACTATAGCCTCCTGAGTAGATGGGACTACAGGTGCGCACCTGATCCTGACATATCCATAGGTTTTTGATAGATCCAAGAGCAAATTCTTATCCAGATATGAGGTACAGAGGCAAAACCTTGCATTTCATTTAAAGAGGAATTAACAAGGAGAGATGTGTCCTTCAAGGTGCAAGATCTGATATTTTACAGCAGTGTTTGAAAATGCCTGTCAAATAGCTTAGTGAGGATAGCATTTTATGGGATTCAAAAAACAATGCCTTCAGAATATGGGAAATGTATGAACTATTTATTAGCATGTGTAACAGAAAACCTGAATATTATAGGCTATTCTTTGTGAACGAAATGCTAATAGATCAAAAGCAAAGAAAAACACATCTCAAAAAGGAAACGTTTTTTTTTTTCTTTTTTCAATCAGTTACTGGTTTTCAAAACTCAACTGAAGTAGCTTCTTTAACAAGTTGAGGCCTGTGGAAAGTTTTCAGGATATTTGTTGTGAATATGTAATTATTTTTACCCTGCCACATTTGTAGTCATGGAGATAGATGCTGTCAGGCTTACTGACTGAAGGAAATCTTTACAGTTGAGGAATCTAGAATTTCTGAATTTTGATAAAAGGCTCTGAATGCTGAGGAGATAAATTGTTTACCGCACTTGAGAGGTTAAAAAGTTAGTGGGTTATGGTACTGATTCATCTCATAAAATCTCTTTGCCTTGGTCAGTAAAGGAGGTGAATGCTATACTTATTAATTAAATGGAATGAGAACTAAAATATTTCATTCATAACCAATATGAACAAATGTTGAAATAAAAGCAATTCAACCTTACAAGTAATGTGCATATCACACAAGACCTTTGTGATTCATATATACCAGTTATGTTCATTCACAAGTTTATGTCAGACATTAGCCAAGTAAATTAGATAGGAAAAAGAGTGCACATAGGAGAGTAAATTTGTCTACAGGATTTACAGTTTATTACTGCTTTGTGATTTATCTATCCATTTTGTGAAACGAAGGCAATGGAGCATTTTCCAAACTACTTGCTCAGAAACTCTTAGGCTGCCCACTGCCTGCTTAGTAGAGAGAAAAGGACACCTGAATACCTAGGTAGCCAGAGGAAAGGGCACCACATGTTTCTCAATGTACATAAAAAGACATGCTTTCTCTATGCCCTTGTCTTTAACTGTGCTTAGGCACTATGTATTTTTGCAAATTGATGTTTCCAGTTAATAATAGTTTGGCACCAATAAACACACCTTCTTGATAGCCCAAGTTGTGGAAATGGTCTTTGGAGTCAGAAGCATCTGTCTTTAGCATCTTGCTCCTTGATGCACAGACATATAGCTATGAGTATACTATCAAACCTCTCCACATCTTGCTTTGTCTGTATAATGGGGAGAGTGAGATTGCATGAATTTGCTTTGCACAGAGCCAAAGAATGGACACTTAATAATATCGGTGTCTTTTCCTTTACTCACTGAAACTGATTGTTCGACTTACCTGGTGATTCACAGTAGAACACTTTACTATGTTGACATCATTAGGAAAATCATGAATTTCAAAGTTACCCATTTTCTTATCACTAAAATAAGGCTATTTAGAAATGTGAAACCACCTAGCATAGTGTCTGACATGTAATATATGTTAGCTTGATTTTCATTCTTTTCATTTATAAAATTTTAATTGACAATAAATAATTGTACATATTTGTGGGATACAATGTGATGTTTGGATTTATATATACATTGTGTGATGACCAAATCAGGTTAATTGGCATATTCATCACCTCAAATATTTATATTTCTTTGTGATGGGAGTCGAGTCAACTCATTATGCTGCACAGTTATTTTATATTTCAAAATAGCTACAAGAGATACCTCTTGTATTTCAAAATAGCTACAAGAGATACCTCTTGTATTTCAAAATAGCTACAAGAGATACCTCTTGAAATATAAAATAACTGTGCAATAGTACACCAGAACTTATTTCCTTCTTTCTAATTGCAACTTTGTACCCATTGACCATACTTCCCCCAGCCTTCTCCCCCAAGCCCTACCATGCTTCTGGTATCCTCTGTTCTATTCACTACTTCTATGAGTTCGGCTTTGTAGGATTTCACATGTGAGTGACAATATGTGTTGTCTTTCTGTGTCTGGATTGTTTCACTTAACATATGTCTTCCAGATTAATCTATGTTGTTTCTAATGATAGAATTTCATTCTTTTTATGGCTGAATTATATTTCATTGTGTATATATGCCACATTTTCTTTACCATCCATCCATTGTGGAACATTTAGGTTGGTTCCATATCTTGGTTATTGTAAACAGTGGTACAAGAAACATGAGGACACAGATATTTCTTCAACATATTGATTGTATTTCTTTTGGATAGATTCCTGGAGGTGGGATTGCTGGACCATATGGTAGTTTCATTTTTAATTTTTTGAGGACCCTCTATACTGTTTCTCATAATAGCTGTACTAATTCACATTTTCACTTTTAGTGTGTGCTTTGTTTTTTCCACATTTTTGCCAACACTTGTTATTTTGTGTCCTTTTCATAATAGCCATTCTTCCTTATCTTAAATAAACTGTATTAGAGATTAATAGTTGACAATTTTTGATGTACAAAATATACCAATGTAACTTTTCCACTACTGTAATTGGTTTTATCTACTGAGCTGCCATCATTAAATAACAAAATAATAGAAAAATATCTTAGAACAGTAAAATTTAATTCCATGAATTCCAGTCCTTCTCCATTACATATTGACAGGATTACATCTAATGCCTTCCTATTTTAAGTTCATTGGTAACTAATATCAGTCTATGAATAATTTTCCTAGTACAGTCAGGACTTAGCATTTACTTTAAAAGTTTCAGTTATTCTAGCTCTATTATTTCTTTGTCAGAACATAATGAGTTGACTCGTGTAAGAAAATAAGGAACTCAAAAAGAAGATGGTGACCTGAACTGAAAACTGCCTCAATTGGAGAAATTAACTTCTGGGTTAATTATCT